TTAGGCGTGTCAAAAGTGTCAACAGTCACAGGGATCAAGCGGGTCGCGGTCGCCATCCTTGTAACTGTCATCATTTCTGAGATCTCAGATCTTTGTGGCGTGTCAAAAGTGTCAACTGTCACAGGCATCAGGCGGGTCGCAGTCGCCATCCTCGTAACTGTCATCGTTTTNNTTTTGAGCTCTCACATCTTTGTGGCGTGTCAAAAGTGTCAACAGTCACAGGGATCAGGCGGGTCGCGGTCGCCATCCTCCTAACTGTCATCGTTTTTGAGCTCTCATATCGAGAGGAACCCACCGAGTGGAGCCAACGTTAGAGAAAAAAAGCAGCCGGAGCCAACGTTAGGAAAAAAAACACCTCCGCCCGAAGCCTCCACATGAGGGATTGGGTCCTCTTGATCGTTGCGTACTCCCAAACCCGTGTCCATTACGTGTACAAGAAGTATAGGCTCTAGCCGCCATGATTTAGGGTTTAGGTTTTAGGCGTCAGGACGCCCCGCCACACGTAATGTAGACAAGTAATTAATAACCCCCCCTCCCCTAAATGGCGATTATAATCGGGACCCTTATGTTAAGGCAAGGCCCCTAAAACCCTAAAACCTTAAATTACGGGTCTACACACAGAAGGTTTCTGGGTTGTAGGTAGTGTAAGTTTGTCTTTCTCGGAGCTGTGGAGCAGTTCATTAGCTCAATTTGTAGGTGTGCTGGGCTTGAGGCTTAAACCCTAAACCCCAAACCCCGAACTCTAAACCCTAAACCCTAAATCCCCAAGTCTGGATCCCAGACCTCAAGCTCTACATCGCTACCCCTAGCAGCCAAGATCACTTGGAGTGACTTTCTGTGTTAGCAACCTCCATTGCAGAGGTACTGTGCAAACCTGAATAACTACCGACATTCTCCGACTATAAGTTTTCTATAACTACAGCAAAATAACCCTGAACCCTAAACCCTACACCTTAAGCTTAATTAAAGAGGCCCTTGTATTAGCCTTTCAGGGTCTGTTCAGGTTGGGGAGCTGCTGTCCTTCTCTGACCGCACTGGCTGCACTCCTTTGCAAAAGCGTCCGATGGGTTTAGGGGTAGGGTTCAGGGCTCAGGGTCTTAGGGTTAAGTCCAGGGTGTCAGGCTGATGCAGAGCTTAAGTGATGATTTCTGACTGCTGTAAGTGGATACCCAAAACTGTATCTTGAGCATCTAAGGCGTACATTACAGGGTTAGGGTTCAGTAGCTTTTAGTGGTGGAGTTTTCGCTGTCATGCCGAAGGAAGAAGCTAATGGGAGGGTCAAGATTCTCGCGCGTGCGCGGCAGACTGGGCTGCTGTTGAGGGGGAAACTTATGGCAACTAGATTTAAGTTCTTTAACAGCAGCCCAGCAGGGATCTGGGAAGAAAGCTTATGTTCCTTCCGATCGAGTCGCGGGTATTATGGCAAGCTAGTCCTGTTCCCAGACCATGAAGCGTACGGCATAGCCCGAAACCCTAAAGCCTGAACCCGAAATCCCTCAATTGTGCTTCTAAACGTCTGTTCTATGACATGGAAGAAGCAGGAAGTCAGACCCTGAACGGCGAAACCGCACAATCCTTCACCTAAACCTTGGAAACTAATGACTCTTTAGTTTCGGGTTTAGGGTCCAGGGCATTGAAAAAGTTAGGCCTCATGGATTACCGCAGCTGGACCTTCTGGACCAGACTTGCCAGGGCCCGTAAGTTATGAGCTCTACACCGAACATCCGAAACCTCACGTCCTTTCAGTGTGCAACACACCTTCTGCTTCGCAACGGCTAACTCCAAGGCCTGAATGCTGGAACCCAACGGTCTGCACGTGAACATACCAAAATAAGGTTCAGGGTTTAGGGTTAAAGGATATTACCCCAAACAATGGAGAATCAACCGAAAGCTAAATTGGAATATGAAATGGAAACCGTGGTAGTTTCCCAAAATCGAGGGAACGCCAGTGTAGACCCCCAAACACTATAATCCTCACTATTGGGATCCCCAAAAAGGTACCCTAATTTTGGGAACCCACCTGAACCGGGATTAGGGGTTGGGAGTTCAAGGGTTGGGGTTTAGGGTATTTGGGCCGAGGGGTGTCGGGTGTAGGGGTGGAGTTACGCGATTGGAGGAGAATCTGACGGATGATTCTGATTCCTCGTCTGGGATCATCTTTCCGCGCTCCGCATTATCCCTTGTAGTCATTATTGCTGGGTGCCCTAAGCCCTCCACCCTAAACCCCCAAAGGCTAAACCATTATTATCCCTTTTCGTAGCTATTACTGGGGTTTCGGAGCTCAGGCTTTTAGGGTGTTCGATTGAGGGTTTAGGGCTCCATCCCAAAGACCTGCATCGGCAAACAGAAGTGCCCTTTGGGGTTTGGTAAGGTAGAAATCTGAACAGCTGGGAAAACGTCCCTTTGTTACCCTTGAAAGCGAGAGAAGCAATTATTCAGAGCCCTACGCCCTACACTCAAGACCTTCTACGCGCTTACAAAACTTCTACATTGCGCGTCCATGGGGCGTTTCCAACATAGAGCTGCCCTGATCTACCCCAAAATCTTCAGTTCTTCTTGTCAGATGGGTAGTCCCAAAATTAGAGTCCCATTTTGGTACCCCTGATTATTAGCTGCTGTAATATAATCAATACCCACAAGGCGCCCATTATTTTGAGAACAACCCAAATAGGAGCCTTGTTTTTGAAAGAGACCCCTACTTTCGGAAAGCCTTCATATGAGCTACAGTCTACACTCCTAGTTTCCCGCTCAATAAGCCCTATAATACTCCCCTTCCAGAACCCCTTTAAGGAGTCTAGACTGTAGCTCATATGGTCCCAATAATCTTAACCTTTGACAGCCCTCAACTATCGGAGGATTATGGCTAGCTACCCTTACGACGCCAAAAACAAGGACCCTATGACAGTCACAATACTTCTCGAAGGTTCTTCCTACAGGGGTTCGGGTAACAAAAGTCCCCGACCGCAAGCTGAAACCGGAGCCTTCAAACCTGAACCCTGAACCCTAAACCTCAACAGTTCTACTTAGAACCCGCACGCTTGCACCTGGGCTCAAGTTCAGCGACATCCCGTCAACCTTTTTTTGGGGGGTTTGGTGCTGAGGACTTTAAACTTGGCAAGTCAGACCATACCCAGCGTACTGGGAATTCTACTATCCCAAAACACCCTCTCCAATTTTCAGGTTGAAGACCTGCAGTCCAGCGTTTGGAATCTAAGTGCACTTGCTCGGTGTGGCGAACTCCTCCCTTATGATGCCATAATTGCCCTTGCTAATTTCAATGTAGGTCTATCCTCTGTTGTCACTCCACATTTCGTGTGTGATTGGTCACTGGCATTAGTATCACCATAGGTGACACGTTCTAGACCGACAAATTCGTAGCTGGGTGGGTTCCAGCTTCGTGGAACTTTCGCCTGATGATGGACCTGCGGCTCACACGGGGTTTTCCAAAGAAAGGGGTTGCTTGGGGAGACTAGGGGTACGTGGCGATTACACCCGGGCTATGAGTCTTTCTGAAACCATCTTCTGAGAAACTCCCACATCAGCCTGGTTACCGAGGTTCGCTTGAAGTGACCCTAAACCCGAAACCCTAGAACCTAAATCCTAACTTTTAGTGAGGGTTTAAAGTTAGCGTCAGATCAGGTTGTCATGGTTTAGCTGTCCAGGATTCAGGGCCAACAGTTCAGGGATGCGGAAAAGGGCCAAGGGCTCAGTTTAAGGATTTGTTTCAGGCTGGTGCATGAGGGAGCATTCATGAGCCTTTGGGTTATGTGAAGCTTCAGTGACTCGCTGATGGAACCTGTGGGCTGTTCTCAAAATTGTGGGTTTTTTGATACCAAAACCCTAAACCCTAAGGTCACCATAGCCTAGATGGCATTTCCTGCTCAGAAGTTGGATGTCTTTCTGGCCTTGCGGCAGCGTGAGTCTACTTTGTCAAGCGTCCCCTATATGATCAATATTCTAAACTCCTTAATTGAGGTAAAATAGGGGATTATGTAAGGTTTAGGGTCTAAACTCCTTAAAGGGGCTTATGTAGGTAGGGGATTCAGAATATTCCAGGGGTTATGAAGGGGGACATTAGGAGTGCATACTATAGCTCATATGATCCCTAAGAAGATCCAC